TCCTGGGCACACACCCAGAAGAATGGAGAACAGCTGTTCAAACACACACTTGTGCACATATGCGCACAGCCACAATGTTCACAGTGGGCAAAAGGTAGACAACAACCCAACTGCCCATCAACCAATGAAAGAAAATGCAGAGTGTCCACTCAGTTGGATATGATCAGCCCTAAAAGGAATGAAGTAATGTGCTGCCCATATCGTACAATAAGGACGAGCTACGGAAACATTGTGCTAAGTGGAAGGAGCCTGACACCAAAGGCCACATGATGTAAGACTTCAAAGGAATCAGAAAATCCACACGGGCTTCTGCATGATGAGAGCATATTAGCAGCTCCCAGGAGCGTGCGGGAAGGAGCGATGAGGAAGAGATACTTAATGGGTACAAGATTTCTTTTTGGGTGACGAATATGTTTTAAAGTCAAATGTGGTGGCATACACCAGCACTCTGGAGGCTAAAGCAGGAGTCACCGAGTTAGAGGCCAGCCTGAACTATATAGGGAAACTGTGCCACAACAAAAAAAATTAAAAGTGAGAAAGTTCTGGAAGTAGACAGTGATAGTTATATAGCAGTGAGAATGTACTAAGTGTCCCTATTGGTGGTTTTTTTGCTTGTTTGTTTGTTTATTTGGTTTGCCATGTAGCCTAGACCGGCCCTGAACTTGCTATGTAGCTAGGTCCAACCTTAACCTTCTGCTTCCATCTCCCCACTGCTAGAATTACAGGCATGCACCACCACGCCTGGTTCTATGAGGTGCTAGGGAAGGAACCCAGGGTACTGTGCATGGGAGACAAGCACTCTGACAGCTTGGCTACATTCCCAGACTGGTAAGTTCTTTTATGTTTATTTTACAATTTAAAAAATGAATATGCAAACCAGGTGTGGTGGCTCACCCCTGTAATCCCACCACTTGGGAGGAAGAGGCAGGAAGATCAGGAGTTCAAGGTCATCCTCAACTATACAGTAAGCTGGAGGGCTGCCTGGTCTACATGAGCCCATATTACAAAAACAGAATTTTTATTATGTAAAATACGACGTGGGGCCTGGGGAGATGACTCACTTGGTAAAGTGTCTCCCACCAAGCGTGAGAACCTGAGTTTAGACTCCCAGCACCCAGGTAAAAGCCAAGTGTAGCATGGTGTCTGTAAACTCAGCACTGGGTAGAGAGGGGCCAAAGATAGGCAGATCCCTGTCTCCAATATAGCAGAATAATCAAGTTAGTGAGCTCCAGGTTCAGTGAGAGAACCTGTTTCAAAAAATAATGTGGGGCAACCAGACATGGTGGCGCATGCCTTTAGTCCCAGCACTCAGACAGAGGGATTTCTGGATCTCTGAGTTCGAGACCAGCCTGGTCTATAGATCAAGTTCCAGGACAGTCATGGCTACAGAGAGAAAACTGTCTCGAAAAATAATAATGATTAATAATAATAATAATAATAATAATAATAATATGGGATGATGGAGAGAGTTCAGCAGTTAAGGGCACTGGATGCTCTTCCAAAGAACCCAAGTTCAATTCCCAGCACCCACATGGTGTCTCACAACTACCTGTAACTCCAGTTCCAGGAGATCTGACTCCTTCTGGCTTCCATAGGCACTGTATGCATGTGGTCTACAGACACGCAGGTAAAACATTCATATACGTAAAATAAAATAAATAAAATGAACACTTGAAGTCAACATACTGTGCACATATATATGTGAACACACACAACCATGTATACACACAAATACACAACATAAAAATTAATTATACTACCTTCTCAAAAAAAGGAATTAAAAATAAACAAACATGATGTATTATGTCATGTACTGAAAGGGTCTGACACACGGCATACTAGAGAGGGTAATTTAGTAAGACAGGAGGAGGAAAGAGAAGAAATTGGGAGCTGCTAAGACGGCTCAAGAGGTAACGGCACCTGCTATCAACTGCCACCAAGACAGAGGACCTGAGTCTAATCCCTAGGAGCCAAGTGGTGGAAGGAAAGAACTGACTCCTGAAGCTGTGCACATGTACACACACAGACACACACACACACACTAAATAAATAAATAATAAATAAATAAATAAATAAATAAATGATAATTTAAAAAGAACCCAGGAAGACAGATCTCTGTGAATTCAAGGCCAGCCATGACTATATTGGTGAGATCTTGTATCAAAAGTGGAAAAAAAGAAAGAAAAAGAAAATAGGGCTGGAGGGATGGCTCAGTGGTTAAGAGCAATGGCTGCTCTTCCAGAGGATCCAGGTTCAATTCCCAGCACCCACATGGTGGCTCACAACTGACTGCAACTCCAGTTCCAGGAAATCCAACACTTCACACAGATATACATGCAGGCAAAACACCAGTGCACATAAAATTAAAAAAAAAAATTATTTAAAACATGAAAAAATACATAATAGAATAAAACAAAACCGTTTAAAGAAAAAGAACCCAGAGCCATTATAAAGCCAGAAGTGCCCTTGGTATCAGCGCCTTCCTAAATGAGGAAATGGCCAGAGTTACAGAAAAACAAACCCTTTCCTTCCTAGTGGGAACCATGGTTTAACCCTTTACCACAGAACCAAGAACAGGCAGGGAGGCTCTCCAGAAGAGTAGAAACAGAAAGATCCAACAAGCAGGCCGAACTCCGACACTTTGCCGGCCCCTCCTTTCAATGATACTTTGAAAAGCTGGAGGGCCTCTCAAATTCCTGCTTCTAGTCTTACCTCTCTCCTGAACTCTGGGATGCGATGGAAGCTTCCTGGGTGTTCAGAGGCCATCTCAGCACATGTTCTGACCCCACCCCTGCCCATACTCTCTCTGCAGTCTTACTTCCTCAGAAAATACCTGCACGTTGCCAGATGTCTATATTACTTTCTCTGTGCCCCATAAGGAATCCATCATGTCAACTGATGATCTCCAAAATATGCTCAGATTTCAACTAGTGAGCACTAGTTCTCACTGTATCCACCACTGGATGTCTTGCTAGCTCATGCTGCCTTTATATGTAGACTGCAGAAGCTTACCCACCAGCCAGCCCCAGCTGCTCTCCCTACTCCCTCCATGCTGCCCTGGCTTCCTGTACTTTAAGTGTGAGTGACCTCTTCATTTAAGACCAGAGGCTGGAAAGATGGCTCAGCAGTTAGGAACATCGGCTGCTCTTGCAGAGGACCTGGGTTCAATTACCAGCATCAACATGGTGGCTCAGAACTGCCTGTAACCCCAGTTTCAGGAAATCCAGTGCCCTCTTCTGGCCTCACATTCAGGATAAAATCTAAACTCCTTTCTGTATGTCGTCTTTTGCTTACTCTACTCCAGCCACTTTTGAGAGAAACTAAGGCCGGCCCTGCTACTTCAGTGAGGTGTCTGTTCCAATGGACCATCATCCTGAACACCTCCCACCCACCCTCCAACCCCGAATTTCTGTTCTTCCCCTGACAGGTAATATGTACTGCTTGTCTACTCTACTAAAATGCAAGTTTCACAAAGATAGGGCTTGGTTTCCTTGTTTACTGCTGTTCAGCTAATGTCCAGGATCTGCAGAATGAATGCTTCCCAAGAGAATCTATTCCAGCCAATCAGCAGAGACCAGGGGTTGGGGGCGGACACCTCCCCACCACCTTCTTACCTGTCTTTGTATTTGGACAGCTTCTCCTCCTCCCAGGCAGTGTTTCCACCACCAAAGTTGTCCCGGATGGTTCTCTCCAGACCCTGCAGAGGGAAGAAATTAGGAATGCTGAAGTACAGCGCCTGACACACATTCTTTTTGTTTTTGGAGACAGGGTTTCTCTGTGTAGGCCTGGCTGTCCTGGCACTTACTCTGTAGACCAGGCTGGCCTCGAACTCAGAGATCCACCTGCCTCTGCCTCCCGAGTGCTGGGACTAAAAGCATGTGCCACCACCGCCCGGGCTAACATTCTAACATCCCACTACTTTATGTTATTGATCAGGAAACTGAGGCACTGTGAAGCACCTTTCCCAAAGGCCATACAGTTAAAGCAGGCATCCCATATTGGGACTAGAGTCCGCTCAGATTTGCACTGAGAGCTCCCTGCTCTCTGCTTAATGGGCCCATCCCTCGAGGCACCCACCTTGTTGAAGCTGTCCACCAGTGCTCGGCAGGTATGACATGGATGGGGCTCAGCTCGGGGAGAAGAAAGGGGAGGAGGAGAGGGCTGGAGCCAGACAGGTCCCGGGAGACTCAGAAACAGGCTCAGGCCACAGAGCAGAGATGGGACCAGGCCCCTTAGGGGCTGTGGGGCCATCTTTTCCCAGGGACGTGCAGATACAGGTCAAGGGGAGGGTTCACTGGAGAAGCCAGGCTGTAAGGAGGAAAGAGAGGGAGGGTTTGGTTCTGAGGTGCCTTGGGGCTGAAAGCCCCAGACAGACCTATGTAATTACAAACGAGGACGAACTGGGGTACTGGAGGCTGAGGCGCTGGGAGGGGAATGGAGCCTAATCTACAATTCCCGAAGAGAAATTATGTCTCCGTTACCGTAGGGGCAGGTGGCCGGGATCGTTGGCAAAAGGCTAGGCGTCAGCCCATGGTTTTAGGGTCTCAGTGAGTTATTAGGAGCCAGAATTAGAAAGGGTCAGATCCCAAATATTTCGAGAGAAAGCCGGATGGGCGGTCCTGGGGGAGGAGCCCGGATCCGGATATGAAGAGAAGGGGTCAAATTCAGAGCCTCTTTGGAAGACGGAGACAAGGCCTGCAACAGGCCGGGAAGGATCCAGACCCGGCTAGACTACAAGGAGAAAAAAAAGTCCCCGCCCCCGCCCCGGGAGTTGTGGGCCGAGTCTGCTAAACGCTACTGCCTCCGTAAAGTACCACCTTCTCCAACGCCGCAGTCAGGAGGGCGGGGCCTTCTCACAGCCAATGAGGAACGGCCATGTGCCATTGCGTCACCCCATGCCAACCAACCAGAAGCGGCGCCGGGCTGCACCTGTCCCGGCTTTAAAGGGCCGCGGGGTTAAAGGCTCTGCTAGCTGAAAATTACGACATACACGCCAGGGCTACTCGGTTAGGCTAACTGCGTCGGTCTTTATTCGAGTGCAGGGTAGGGTCCCGGGTCCCATGCTTCGCCGCAGCCCGGGGCTCCCGAATGCGAGGTGCAGCTGTCCAGGGCGGCCCGCAGGGCCTGGGCCACTTGCTCCGCCCTGTCCGCGAGCCGCCCAGGGCGCGGGGCGCCGCTTCCCTGCAGGACATCCAGGAAGCCAGGCAGCTGCGAGGGCAGGGAGAAGAGCGGCGCAGCGCGGAACGGGGCGGGCACGGCGTCGGGGTGCAGCAGCCCGTCGAAGTAGACCCCGACGTAGCGGCCGTCCACACGGCCTTGCAAGAAATCGGGCAGCACGCAGCTGAGCCAGGAGGCGAGGGCGTCGTGCGGCCCTGGCTCCACCGTCTGATGTTGGAGCCACTGCTGGCACTGTGCCGCCGCCGCGGGCGAGAAGAGCAGGACCACTACGCCATCCTCCTGCAGGGTCCGGTGCCGCTGCCCGTGGAACCAGGCCAGGGCCCCGTGCGCGCTCAGCTCGCGGCGGCTCCACAGGTCCACGGCCACGCGCAGCGGCAGCTTGCTCAACGCTGACGCCAGCGCGCCCACCAGACGCTCGTAGCCCGCTCCGTCGGCGGAGTGAAGGAGCAAGGCTTTGCGCGCCCTGGGGGCCGCTGTCGGGAAAGCAGAGCCCGTGAGGGTGAGCCTGGACCTGCCTCCCCTCCACCCGCTGGAGCCCAGCGTCACCCTTTGAGGCTGTCCCTGGGAAACCGGGACAGGGAAGTGCTCACCTTTCACGCGGTCCTTTTTTAGAAGGAGAAGGAAGAAAAGCGCAGCGACCAAGAGTAGGCAGACCAGCCACACCAGGACCCAGCGCTTATGGATGTCTGGGATAGACAGGGAAGAATGGGCTAGTTAGAACCCTTACAACTCTCACTCTGCTTCACGGAGGAGGGAAACTGAGGCCTATAGACTTGAAGTGAATTGCCCCAAAATCACAGTGTCAGAGCCTATGCACTGAAAGAGCTCCATCTATCTGGGTGACCTCCCTCAATTCTCGTGCCTGTAAATTTGGGATAATGGTACCAAGTGCATATAGGGTTGCACGTAAAATACATAACGGTGCCAGGCCTTGTAAATGTTTAAATGCCAGCTGATATCCTGTAAGCAGGTGGCAGGCCCTTAACCTTGCTGTCTTGCATGACTGCAATAGCCTCCTGACGAGGCCCCCACCTTTCTGACTTCAGTCCATTCATTCTGAGTATTGGACCTTTCCTCCCGAACCCTTCATCCCACCTAGACCAGGTCCCCACTGTGCTCAGTCACTGCACAGAACCCTTTACACTGCTTAGTGCTTCGATACCTCGCACGATGGTTAAGATCACACTTGCAGCCGGGCGGTGGTGGCGCACGCCTTTAATCCCAGCACTCGGGAGGCAGAGCCAGGCGGATCTCTGTGAGTTCGAGGCCAGCCTGGACTACCAAGTGAGTTCCAGGAAAGGCGCAAAGCTACACAGAGAAACCCTGTCTCAAAAAACCAAAAAAAAAAAAAAAAAAAAAAAAAAAAAAAAAAAAGATCACACTTGCAAACATTCAACAGCTCAGACTTACTGGGTGTGCTCGGCTATGTCCTTTTAGACTTGTGCTGGTGAGGGCTGGGATCCCTGAAAGTGTGTTCTCGGTCTCTATGTGTCTCTGTCCCTCCATGTGCCATAACGCATGTGTGGAGGTCAGAGGACAAATCAAGGCAGTCAGTTCACATGGGTCCCAGGGAATTCAGGTTCTCAGGTTTGGTGGCAAGTGCCTTTACCAGCTGAACCACCTTTCTGCCTCTTTGTGGTTTCTGAGTGAATACAGGAATGCCGCTGTGATCTATTTGAGCCAGGCAAAGCCTCACATATGTGATGTGTAGTCCCTGTCAGCAGAATCAGCTCCCGGTACACGGAAAGAGTTCCTGTCATACTCACACTTGTCCATGGGGCAGGCCCATAGCGCTCCCAGGTCATCATCATTCCACAGCTGTAAGACACAACCACAGTCCCCTGCTTGGTGTTCAACACCTCATAACGTCTGCTCGGCGGCGGCGGCTTCCAATTCCCAGCCCCAGCCATGCATACTGCCCTGCCCAGCGCAGGCTCCTGTAAGCACTGTGCTTTTGCTCCAGCTGTGCCTGCGCTGAGCTCTGTGCCAAGTGGGGCCTTGGAAGACACAGTCTTCCTCAGAACCTAACACTTCCTGGGGGTGTGTATCGCTTTGCTGATCTCTAGCCAGAAGTGAGCACCCGAGGGACAGGAACTATATGCTCCTACCCTTTACCTACCCTGGGCTAGACGCAAAGCAGGCAGAACAGGTAGGCCCATGCCAGGTGGAAGGACCTTGCCTGTAGACACAAGCTCTGTCACCAGCTCACCTGCACACACTGCTGTGTCCGGAAGTCGTGCAGCAACTGCTCTCCAAGGTGAGCGGCTCTCTGCCAAGTCAAGGGAAGGGGGATTGTCACCTGGGGCAGCGTGCGAGGTGTTGCAGTGGAGCAGAAGTGTCTGTCAAGAGGAGCTGGGAGGCTTGAGAAGCCATAGAGAAGGGACGGACAGACACACACACACACACACACACACACACACACACACACACACACACAATTCCCAGAGAGAGTACTGGGCCTGGCAGAGCAATGGCAGAGTAGAGGAAGTGGGATGGAATGAGAACATGAGGCCACGGTTGAGACGGAGCTGGAAAGGTCTGGAGGAAGGTTCCCTGGTCCTCACCGTGGAGGCATTGCTGGGCAATGCTGTACAGCCACTGGCTTCCAAGGCACAGACTGATGTGTTGTTTGGGCCAGTTCTCATCTCCACTAACAGCATATCATCTTTGAAGGGCCCCAAGGAGTCTGGGAGGAGTGAGAGGCCGTTCTAGTAAGACCCACCCGGGAGTTGCCACCTGCCTTCCTCCCACCCCCAACCTTCAGCCCCGGGAGCAGCTCCTCCATGGTTCACCCCATTGCAAGGGGCCCTGTCCCAGCCACCCTCGAGCCCCACTCACCAGCCCACAAGCACTCTTGGAGCTGGACCTTCTCCCAGCTGCTCACCTGCTTAGAAGGAGCCAGAGTTAGGAGCGCTAGTCAAAGCCAGAGCCAGGGCCAGGAAGTCCACAAGGAAGGGAACAGGCAAGAGGAAGCCCATCAGGCCGGCTCTGCACTCTGGACCTGAGGTTAGGCACATCTGGGTTCAGGTGGCAGGATTAGGAGTCACCCATCTTTCTCAGAGCAGGCCTTGTGAGAACACCTGTGCTAACGGAGCTCACAACCTTACAGCTCTTTCTGTCTTGAGTTAGCACTTAAAACACCCATTCCCCCTCATCTGACACCTCAGAGGAGATTCATCCAGCCTCACCCAGTCACCCACTGGAGATCACAACCTCCGCCCTTCCCCATTCCTTCGCCTTTCGCCACAGCACGGATGTCACTTGAACACGTTCAGTTACACATATTCTTCACCTGCCTTCATTAGAAATAGGTTCTGGGATGACAGCGACAGTTGTTGGTTTTGTTCACGGACAAGTCTGTCTCAAGAGTGGCTGGCACATACAGATAGTCAATAAATCTGTTTTGTTTTAAAGCATTCTCAGTCTTCAGCCGAGGCTGGCCTGGTATTCACTACACAGCTCAGGCCAGGGTGGCCTCAAACTCCAGGCATCACATCCTCCTGCCTCAGCCTCCCAAGTGCTAGGAATATAGGCATGAGCCACCATGCCCAGCGAAATCTTGAATGAGTGCTTTTATTTTTTAATTTAAAACTTACTTTATTTTTTTATTATTATTAATGTGTCTGTGTATGATGTATGTGCTTGGGGGCATGAGTTCCCAGTAGTGCGTGTGGAGGCTGTAGCTTGGGAGGAGAATTGGTGCAGAGTCCCACCCTCAGCCCAGTGCTTTTGATCACCATCCTGACCTGGACGCAGAGGTTGGGGTGGCTTCTCAGCAACGGGAACTCATGAGGCTTCTGTGGAAGGCAGGGAAGGAGTGAGGTCACGAAGGGAGACCCTGGGGTCCCCTTTCTCTTTCCACCCTGGGTCTGCCTTTGACCTCACATTCACAGTGACATTCTCCTGGAGCATCGGTGGCACAAGTGGCTGGCAGGGACCCTGGTCTGGTGCCTGCCAGCACAGTGCCATCTTGGCCCGCAGAGAGCATGGTGCATCTAGCTGCCATCTCCCTGAGGACAGCAGCCGCAGACTGGCTATGTGCCAAAGGTTCCAGTGTGCTCGGGGATCTAAAGCAGAGGGCCAGGGTTACTAAACACAAATCAGCCTTCCACACAGCCCCCTGCCCTGCCATAGGGGATTCGCTCACCTTCCCGGAAGGGGCAGAAACTGGTCCTAACAGAATCTGGCTCCAGGGGCCACACCTGGGAAGAAAATGGGGGCTCTACTAAGTCAATTCAACCCAGCCAACCATCCATGATCACGTGTCAGACCCTGCTGGGTACTAGGACACATTCACTGAGGCAGGTTTCACAAGCACTCACCAGGTTTCTCACCCCTTACAGAGCTCTAGAGATGGGAATGTGGATTCTCTGAGTAAACACTGCCATGTGCACTTAGAACATCTTCTCTCAACTTTTGGAGGGGGTTGTTTTTGTTTTTCTATTTTGAGACAGGGTCTCACTACATATCCCTGTCTGGCCTGGAGCTCACAGAGATCCACCTGCCTTTGCCTCCTGAGGGCTGGGATTAAAAGCATGCACCATCATCCCTGGCTTTTCACTCAACTTTCACTGAGTGCCTACTATGTATCTTAGCAGTATGGTATACACAGAGCCTTAGATTATTAACCTTGATTCACTTCACAACCATGTGTGAATATCTACTATGTATCAAATACTGTGCTAGGTTTTTAAGAGTACCTTCTATGTGTTTAACACTATGCTGTGAGAAAATACATTAATTTATTCATCAAATGTTTAATTGGGAATACCTACTGAGTGATGGGCATTGGACATAGCAAAGCAGACAGTTAAATCACAGCAAACATTTCCTGAACACCTGCCATGTATCTTACCATTGTGTTTGGCAGTGGGGATTTATTTATTCATCTATACCATCAATAATTAGCACCCACTGTATGCCAGGCCCTGTCCAAAGTTACTCTGGCAAAGTTACTGTATTTGAATAAAGATATGCTTTGCTTGCCTTCAAGGAAGTCACAGACTCATAGTTATAGTAAGGATAAAATATGGAAATATTAGTCACTCACCCACTTCCAAATATTTACTGAGCATCTTATATATACAAAAAGAAATTAGACAGAAGCCCAAATGTTAGAGGAAGTGACACATGGAGACGAGAAGCCAAAAGGACAAGGGGGATTGGGAACTAGGAAAGGCCAGAATACTGGAGAAGCTTTGGGAAAGAGGTGATGTGAGCTGGGAAGATTCAGTTACGTGGAAGCAGTAGTGGAAACTGCCTGAGCAAAGGCAGGTTGGGTGAGTCTTGGTCAGCAGCTCTGCTGGATATAACAAACTTCTCATAAAGGAGAACTTGGAAGAAAGTCTGCTGGGAAAGGTTCAGTTGAGGGAAAACTAGGGAGCCCAGAATGCCAAAGAGGCACTGGAAGGGGAGGTGGGGGTAGAGGCTATTGACAGACTACAGGAGAGATTATAGAGGCCCCAGATGAGCTGAGGATGAAGAGGAAGGAGGAAGAACAAGCAAGAGGTCAAGTGAATGAATGGGACTTGATGAATAATTCAATGTGCAATCAGAGGGAGTGGCTGCAGTCAACATATTTAAACCTAGATGTGGCACCCTTCTTTACAACAGCCCTATAATGGTATAGTTTATCCAGATTGCAGATAGGAAGCAGACTCAGAAAGGCAGTGGCTTGTCCAAGGTCATACAGCCAGTAAATGGCAAGAAGGATTCAAGTTCTTTAAGTACATAGCGTATGTCTTACCCTTCATAGGAACACCAAGAGGAACAGTCCTGTGGATAAAGGACCCCAGGAGCATTCTGGACACATAACAAGCAGAAGGCACAGGACAGCAAGAGTAAAGGGACAGCCAGCCACCCAAAGGGGCCATAGTCTCTACCTCAGAGTAGGGAGAACAGTGACCCTAGAAGATTTGAGGCCATCCGTCTGAACCTCCCTATCCCCATGTGCAGGTGGATTCTGCTCCTACCTGAATGCAGAGGCAGGGAACCAAGTCTGTGTGGTTTAAAGTAATAGTCTGTGGTCCAGTCTGTGGGATGAGCAGACCGAAGTGAGTTATGAGAAGATAAGGAAGAGAAATCAGGGAAGCTGAGGGAACCAGGCAGATAACCCCCCTCCCTGCACCCCACCAAGGCCCTCTGCTTTGGGTGTGTCCCTTTAACAGTTTGCAGGCATCCTTAACACAGGCATGAACACAGGGTGAGCATGGACCTGGAGGAGAAGCCTCACCAGGTTTTTTTGCTTCCAGGATTTGAGAGGACCCTGAACCTGATCCCAGTACAGTAAGAGGCCAAAGTCCTGCTCCTCAGAGACGTCCAGTACCAAGCGAACATTGTCACCATCTGCAGACACATTGAGCCAGGGCAGGGCTAGCGGGAGCAGAGAGGAGAGAAGTTCAGACTCCCTTTACCCCTTCTACACAGCCAAGCCTGGGCCATACTCACCAACTGTCCCACTGGAAATTCCATCAAACCCTCAGACTAGGAGGCCCTTGGAGGACAGACTGTATCCCCATCTCATACCAGGCTTTGTCCCCAGCCACAAGCCCAAAGCCAAACCCACAGAGGCTCCAGCTTGGACAACTCTTCTTTCTCTGCAGCCAGTAGAATTCTGCTACCTCCTTAATGCCAATACTTTCCCTAGACTCCACTTATGTTCCATGTAGTAATGCCAGTGAAAGTCCTTGCAACAAGATTATAAAACATCGGTAGCGAACTTCTGCCCTCCGGGGTTCTCCCATTGTGCTGTAAGCCTGTATTTAAGACCTCCTTCCTCATTCAATAAATGGCATTCGGCATTTGAAAAAAAAAAAAAAGTTCTTGCAACAGCTTGCAAGACCTTAACCCACCTAGTTTCTGACCTCTCTAACCTCATCTGTTAGTACTTGTGTCTTGAACACTTGGCTGCAAACATATGAGGCTCCTTCGTATTCCTTAAGCACACTGGACCTTGCTCTTGCTCCAGGGCCTTCGCACGGGCTGTGCTCTCCCTATGGATCTCTCTTGTCTCTCAAATACAGGGCTCCTCCTTCACATCCCTCACTACCGTGAGGCTCTCACTACTGCAACTCTCAACCTTCCCATCCCTCTCCCTTGAATTTTCTCCATAACTCTAGTCTCCATCTACCTTACAGTATACTTTACATCTACAAAGATTTATTGGATCTTTCCTCAACCCTCCTCAAACCCCAATTCCCAGCTCCAGAAGGATGGAGGTTTTTATCAAGTTTGCTTATTAATTTACTCTATAACTATGTCTTGTACAGAGTAATTATCCAGACAATAGTTGTTGAATAAGGAAAGCAATCACCACTGAGTGACAAGATGAGATGCCTGATGTGTTCTGTTTTCAAAACTCTGGTGCCTGCAGATCTTCATGGAGTGCCAAAGAGGAAGGCCAAAAAGAAAACGGAGTTGAAAAGAAGAAAGAGGAGGAGAAGATTCCATAGTTTAAACACTGCCACAGAATTTATGCCTTCATCTTGTCTTGTGCTAGTTGTTGAAGTCTATACACATGTAAACACTAACACAACTGGCCAGATGTGATGACGCACACCTGCAACCTCCACTAATTGGAAAGCTAAGGCAGCAGGATTGCAAGTTCAAGTCTCATGTAGACAACCTACAAGATCCTGTCAAAACCAAAACAACCTAACTACACAGCCATTTCACTGAAATAGACATTAAAACCAGTGCACTTGGCTGGACACAATGGCCACATTCAGTCCTAGCACTTGGAAGGCAGAGGCAGGTAGATCTGTGGGAACATGAGACCTGCCTGGTCTGTAGAGTGAGTTCCAGGCTACCAAGAGCTACACAGTGAGACCTTGTCTCAAAAAGAAAACAAAAAATCATTGCACATAAAACTTTTTTTGTATATGCTATATATGCATGATAAATTTTCTTTAAAAGAAAATGTAAAACTAAAGTAACATTAAGCTGGGTGGTGGTGGCGGCGCACGACTTTAGTCCCAGCACTCAGGAGACAGAGGCAGGCAGATCTCTGTGAGTTCAAGGCCAGCCTGGGCTAGTCTACAGAGGACAACCAGGAGAAACCCTGTCTTGAAAAGCAAAAAAAAAAAAAAAAAACACATCAAAATCTTGACTTTCTGGGTTCCTATTTCAGGTTTAATATGGTTTCCATTTTGATCTATGAAGAAGGCACCATAATCTTGACAGTGCTTTGGCCCACTATATGTTCCCAGTGAACATTTTTACAAGAAAAAGATTCATTTTTATATTTCCAATGTCTGGCACAGATGACGTAACTACTACAGTGGAATGGATGAATGAATGATGGAACGTGTCCTGTGCCTCTGGAATCTGGCATCCCAGAGCTGAAGTCAGCACCACGTATGCATTGTGTGAACTCCAGACCTTTCTCCTCCCTCCACCCAGCCCGCTGTCCCTAGCCCCTACCCCAGCAGCTCTGGATGCTGTCCCGGACTTCAAGACCCCTGCAGTCTGGGGAGAGATCACAGAAAAACCTCCAGTGGGGCTGAGGACCAGGGAAAGAAGGGAGGCAACCCACGTACCAAGGCCACCACCACCCAGCTACTTGGGGAGCTACTGAGAGGGGCTGCCTGTGCCCTGAAGACCACCCACATTTACACAGTAAGAGCACCCATCCCAGAAGCACAGGGAACTGACTAAGGAGGGTACCAGCTCAGATCCCTGCCTGAAAGTGATGGGACTAGGAAGAGGGGGAGTGACCAGAGGGACCACAGACTAGGGGACCAGGGCTTCGGGTCACTTACCAGGCAGCTGCTGTGTGACGTTGAGTTCTTTCTGGTACCTGGGCTGTGTGTAGGACCAGATTCGCACCTCAGCCCCAAGACCAGCCTCAAAACAGTCAAACACTGCAGAGCCCTATGAGGAGAAGGTGGTAGAGGGCTGGAGATGGAGGGTTCAGAACCCAGGCCAAGATCTTGGGCTCATGTGGGTGGACCACTCTGTTCACTCATTGGCTCTCCCCTCCCCCAGGACAGAGTTTCTCTGTGTAGCCCTAACTGTCCAGGGAATTTGCTCTGTAGACCAGGCTGGCCTTGAACTCACAAAGCTCCACCTCCCTCTGCCTCCCAAGTGCTGGGATTAAAGGCATGTGCCACCACCACCCAGCTAAGTTTCCTTTTTTGAACAGGTCCCCCATTCTAAAGCAGGTATCTTCTGTAGCTGTATTGGCAGGTTTGGGATTAGCCAGGCTGTCTGAGTTGCTGCCTACACCTGCTGTCGTGGGCCACTTGGCTAGAGGGAGACTTATTAGACACACTAGTGCAAGCCCCTCAGTGATGCTCATGGCTGCACTGTGAAGTAAACTGAGCTGATTAAAAAAAAACAAGTGTGTGTGTGTGTGTGTGTGTGTGTGTGTGTGTGTGCGTGTGTTTGCATGTGCCATGGCACACATGTGGAGTTAGAGGACAACTTGGAGTCGGTTCTCTCCTTCCACCATGTGGGTCCCAGGAACTGAACTCAGGTTATCAGACTTGGTGGCAATTGCTTTTTTATGCACTAAGCCATCTTGCTGGTCCCCCAAGCAGTTTTCCCAGTCCATGGTTTCCAAGCTGGGGACCAGAAGCGGGAGTAGTGGGAGTGGTTCTGTCCCAGGAGAGTTAGACTTTCAGCCAGGTGGGCCCTGGGAGGAGTCCCAACACCTGTCCTGGTGCACACACCATGGTCTAGCATGATTCTTTTCTTAGTCTGAGAGTCCAGTGAAGGCAGCCCATCAACCACACCTCTCTGGGCCTCAGTTTCTCCAGCTAGAAATGCATAGCTTATGGGAGATTTCAAAACGACAAAAGAAAAGGAAATTAATTTACTAATACTCTTCATTGCTGGGCATAACCTGAAGTGTTTTACAGGCACCAACTTATTTAATTTGCTCAACAGGCAAAGGAGCTATGACTTGTTTTTTACTCTCCTGTGTGTGGGTTTTGCTGGGAATCAAACCCGGGACCTTGAGCATATTAGGCAAGAGTTCTACCACTGAGCCACATTCCCAGTGGCTTTTATTCTTATTTTAGAAAGTCACCAAGAGCTTGAAAGGACATTTCATGGAGGAAGTTATAAACAGCCAATAAACTTGTAAACAGTGTTTAACTTTCTCAGTCATCAGGGGTATACAAATTAAAGCTGTAATGAATACCAAACTCAGTGGCATGTTCCTGTAGTCCTAGCACACTTAGGAGAGTGAGGCAGGAGGATTTCAGTCTAGCCTATACAGCAAGATTCTGTCTAATAAAAACAAGGGCTGAGGGTGTAGCTCAGCAATAGACTGTTGCTTAGCATATACAAAGCCTTTGATTCATCCTCAGCATGCCCCTCCTCCACATTCATACACAGAATTCAACAACAAAAACACAAGCCCTGGACTGTCTAGATGCTACCAAGCTTGGCAACCTGAGTTCAATCCCCAGGACCCTTTTGGTAAAAAGAAGAAAACAGACTCTAAGTTGTCCTCTGCCTTCCATATGAAGCCCCCAGGATACATACATACATACACAACAAATACAATTCAGAAATATAAACACTACCACCACACATGCACACACAAATCCCCAGTTATAAACCACGACACACATAGCAGAATGGCTAACATTGAAATTTTAAGATGCTGGGTTGGGGATTTAGCTCAGTGGTAGAGTGCTTGCCTAACAAGCGCAAGGCCCTGGGTTCAGTCCTCAGCTCCAGAAAAAAGAAAAAAAAGAAAGAAAGAAATTTTAAGATGCCAAGTGCTGGCGAAGATGGAAGCAATTGGAAGCCCTATTTGCTGCTGGTGAGCGTATGAAATAAAAATTGTCCCAGATAACTGCTTAGTGCCTTCTCACCAAGTCAAACACGGCGGGGGGCAGGAGTGTCCTCACCCTCATTTTATAGACAGAAAAACCACCACTAAAGGCTGAGAGGGCTCACTGCTCAGCTCAGATCCCGGATCTAAAGAAACACTGCGGGAGAGTGTGGCGGGGAGCGTCGGATTCAGGAGGTGGCTCAGCAGGAGAAGCATGTCACATACCACAGACTGGCCAGGCAGCACCAGGGCGGCAGGCACCTGTACCTCCAGCAGCGCACAGCGGGTAGTGGGGTAGGCCTGGAAGGAGAGCACCACCTGGGCCAGGAGAGACGCTGTGGGCGACACACAGGTCAGCCAGGCCATGGGCCATGGGCAAGACCCTGACGGGAAGCAGCGGTTCGGCCAACTGGCTCCTCACCGTTTCTAGGCTCCTGGAGTTCCCAGTCAGACTTTTCTTCAGGCTCTTCCCAGTCCCCTGAAAGGAAGAGAAGAGAGTAAAGCCCAAGTCAGACAGCTGCCCTGGGCTGGTCCAGGCTTCGATTCCCTTCCAGGAATGCCACGACTGGTAAGCAGAGGCCTGGGAGAGCAGGCTGGCCTAGGGGTGCTTGGGCAGTGTCTTAAACATTGCAGATGCTCACGGAGTCTGCAACCCTCGTGCCCTTCCCAGACACTCAAATGTGCACACACAGTCTCAGGATTCCCCACTCACCATGGACAGCCAAGTGCACAACCACACGGACGCAGAGGGCGCAGTCGGTCTCCTGTGGACACCTCAGCACCAGCTCCGTCTGCAGGCGGGTGGGCACCAGCACAGGACCTGAGGCAGGCTCGATGCTTCCAGGCAGGCAGAGCATGTCACCATCTGGGTGTGAAGGGTGGAGGGGAGCCAAAACTGCTCAGAGCCCGGTTTGGCTTCTGATAGCTCCCGAGGGCAGGGGAGCTAGCTTGGCCTCTCGGGGCTGAGGGTGAACCGCCGCCTTCTCTTCAGCTAGCCTCGAAGTTCTCTCTGTCAAAGTAGCGATACTTACCCCAGAGGTGGCAGGAAAGACCCTGGGAAGGAGGGAAAAGTCAGTGACATCCCCGAATCTCAGCACCTTCCCTTGCTTGACAACTCCTACCGCTGCCTACCTCCTTCTGGGGCTCCCCATCCTAAGCCCTCCCCTGAAGACAAGACTAATTCTTGTCCCCTGTCCCTCTGCTCTCTCCCGTCAGCACCAGACAGACCAGACAGGGCGGTTCTGACAGAGGCAGTGACGGGAGTCAGATTAGGGCTTTGAAGAGGCACAGACTGAACCCTCAGCCTTCCCCAACTTCCCAGGGCCCCAGACTCACTAGAGAGCAGCGTGCAGTGTCATGAGGATCCACGAGCCTCTCCAGAGAAACCACCGCAGGGCTCCGGCCCAGTGCCAAGGACAGCAGGAACCAGGACATAGGCATCTTCCAGGTGCTAGACAGCACCCAGGCCTGAGGCCCTGTCCTGCCCCCCCGAGGGGGGGCAGACACCCCACCCCTGCTGCCAATCAGCCCTGTGTCCCCCGGGAGAGAACAAGGGCTAGAATTCCTCTCCAGCCATGCTTTCCCACTCGGAGCCCCGACTCCGGGCCCAGTTTCAGCTGGAGTGCTTTCGTTTTGACTCCCAGCAGGCAGTCGCTGTTCCCGCCCCACCCTGTCCCGTCCCTCCTACCAACTCCAGGCTTAGGAGCCTGCAGCTTTGGACTGGGGTGGTGGCCTCTCCGCCTCCTCCTTGGCTGACACCTGGCTGGGAGGAGCCCTGGGCAGGCGGCACAGAGGGAGTCTTGCTGAGTAAGGTAACTCTTACCCCAGATCTCACCCAAAACAGAGACTATGATTGAGAAGACCCCCGGCTTGTAGCATCTCGGGCGTTTCCACTTCCTGTATGACCCAGGGATCCACTGGCCCACTGGGTCCCTTTACCAGGATCTTCATACACTTCCCTGGACCTCAGTGACTAGACCCTCGGGAAACAGCAGCTCTGAAGTGGGCTTCTCCCCACTGCCTGGCCTAGGTTCAAGGGGATGGAGGGGCAGGCAGGGCCTGGGAGACCCAGAACTCAGCAGAGGGTCTGCCGTGCTGTGGTTGGGACTCGGGGAGTGGGGAGACACATGGTGCCTAGCTGAGCTTTGGGTTTTCCTTTGCTCTCAGAAGAATCACATCGAGGAAAGGATCCAGGAGGTACTGGGTCCTCCTTGCCTTCCACAGGCACGGCTTGTGGGAATGAGGCCACAGGTGACATTCTGAGTGAGAAGACTTGAGCTGATGAGCTGTCCTAGAACAAGCCTAGGGCAGGCCCAGGCACACAAGAGCAGCACACGGTGTTCCTTAATTTATCTACTAGGTTCGCTTTTATTCACCTTTCTGGATGAGCGCAAACCCTCTCTCTCACCAATTGTGGTGGCTCAGGCCTTTAATCCCAGCACTCAGGAGGCAGAGACAGGGAGCTCTCTCTTTGTCCCAGGCGATCCAGGGCTACACAGTGTGTATCTCAAACAAACAAACACAAAATCAAACAAAAAATGAAACTACCTCTGGAGAGGGCCTCCCTCTGGGAAAGGGTGACTGAAACCTTGCTTACAAGGGGTTTCTCTCAACTCTGCTGAGCAGAACCACCTTCAAGACCTTGACAGACAGAGCCTGTTGCCCAGCTCTCTCCAGCCTGGACAAGAATGCATGGTGCAGGTGACTGTCTTTGCAGTTTCCAAAAAGAAATGGAAAAGCGGCCCCTCCTCCTCAGGAAGGGCTGAGGAGCTATCAAGAAAGCCCAATTTTCTCCCAGGGACTCTGAGAGGAAGCATGTGTGAGAGGAAAGGTGGGCCAAGTTTGGGGCCTAGGGTGAGTCTTACAGTTTGGTGGGGGCAAGAAGCACCCCAACAGTACAAGCCTGAGGCCCCATTCTGGAGTTCCAGCTGTTGCTCCACAGGCTGAGGCTACAGACAACTGGAACCGCAGGGATGATCGGCTGAGCCTTGGTGGTCAACTTTGGCGGCGAGTTCCAGCCGGTGACACAGCTCCAGGCGGTTTTTCAAGCACCGCTTAGCCCCAAGGTGACTCCAGCTGGTGGCTAGGGTGGCAGGCCGAGCATCCAGAGCCCTCAGCAGGCGCGGCAGGTCGCGAAGCAGGCGGGTAGCGTGGCAGAGTGCGCAGAGGCCGGGGGATGTCGCCTTTGGCGCAGAGGCGACTGAAGTAGGCAAGCAGCAGCCGGCTTGGGGCAGCGCAGAACAGGGTGCGAAGGGACGCGGTGTGTGGGTCGCCGCTGCTGCCGGCCGGGCTGGGGCCTGCACAGTTCCACAGCAGCAGCACCGTGCCTTGCTCCCGCGCCACGCGCTCCCGCGCCGCCCACAGCCACGGCAGTGGTCCAATGCGTGCCACATGCGTCCCCTCCCAGAGATCCACGATGACGTCGCGCCCGCCGCCCAGCGCGGTCCGCAGCAGTTCGGCCAACGCTCCCACCAGACGCCGCTGTGCCTCTGAGTCGGCTGCATGCAGTAGTAAAATTGGCCGCGCCTGGCCTGGGCCTGGGGACCCGAGTAACAGCTGAGTCAGGGTGAGGGCCTGGGGGAAAGACAGCCCAGCCCTCTCCTTGAGGCCTCTGGCCTACACTCTAGGGCACCCTGCGTCCTTGATCCGTTCTGGGAGTCAGTCCCCGCACACTGCTGAGCCTCTCTGGTGCTTATAGGCTACTGAGGAAAACGTGCGGCTTCCAGTGCACAGCAGGCTGGATTGTAAACACCCTCCTACCCCGACCCCTAGCCTCGTCTCTTGCCAGCTTGGTGGTACAGATACAATCTGCACCCATGAGCCGCTTGCCCTGCCTTAACCATTCCTGCCCACTAGGGGGCCTAAGGCTAGCGGTCTGTGCTTTGTCCCCAGCTCGGTCAAAAGGTGCTAGGAATGTCTGAATCTCTGGCTACCCGAGGTGAGCTTACCAGGCAGTAAGCGCCGACAGAGGAGGCTCAGAACTATGCCCAGGAGAGTGGCGAGGCCCAGCAGTGCCAGGATCAAGAGTCCCAGGTGCCTATGGGAGACTGAATCAAGCAGGGTGAAGCCAAGCCATCTCTTCAGTGCCCAAGCTCCCTCTCCTCTCATCCAAGAACTCACCATCAGGACACAAAAGGTGCTTCCAGGCAAACTGGACATCTGACCTCCACACCTGAGGACACAGGGCCCCACTCATGTGAGCTAGAGCACCCCTTTCCTCCCAGGGAAGGAGTCCCCACTGGCCTCCAGTTTTGTGTCCGGTACAATCCCCTGGACAGACACAGACCAGGTCAAGGTGGCAAATGCCAGTGAGACCACAGAGGCTCCCACAGTTGGCCTGGGTTGAAGAGCACAGACCAGCTGAATTAGTCAGCCACCACTGAGCGCTAGGCCTTGTCACCATGCCTTGTAGACACACAGCACTGGGTTTTCTCATTTTTTGTGGGAAGGCAAAATATCAGTGTTTTGTTTGTTTTGTTTTGAAGATAACATGTAACGAGTGACCACTAATTCCAATTTAAAACACTTGGCCAAACCAAATACATTTATGGGCTTTGTGCCAGGGGCTCTGTGAGGAGTGAGGGTAGGATTTCTTACCAGGATGCAGCTCCCCGGCCTCAAGAAGGGAATGATGAGATCTAAAGTCGCTGGGACTGAGCCCTGGGTCTGTAGGGACAAAGGATAGAATGGTTGTCCCCATACAGGCAAATCTGATAGTCTCACCCACCCCATCCTACCTAGGTAAAGGGCCCAGTGCCACCTCCAGAAGACCTCCCCAGCCACCACTGACTCTCCCCAGATATTAACTACTGCAGCTGAACTAACATCACACACACACACACACACACACACACACACACACACACACACACACAGGAGTGCTGCCATGAGGAAGAAGGTGGGCACAGCCGTTGTCTTGGTCCTGCACATGTGTGTGTCTCTTCACTTCCCTGAACAACTGAGGAGGCGTCTTGTCCACTGGGAAGAATGAGCTGTAAAGGCTGGTGGCCTAGCTCGAGTCTTCACTATCGTCTTTCTAGATCCTGGGTTTGTGACCTTTCCGTGGATTTGAGTGATATCTCCTCCCTCCCCGGTCTCAGATTCTTTATTGGCATATGAGGGCCAATAATCTTCAGTGGGTTACTGGAAGCATTAAATGGAAATATGCATATGGATGATTCTAATAAACTGATGTTAGAAGCAGCTGTTATTAGGCTAAGAAACGGGGGACGAAGCCTGTATTGTGTGCTCTTCTTAGGCCTCCTGGTGCATAGCACAGGGTGGGCCCAGAGCAGTACTTGAGGAGAACTGTCTACAGAAGAGACATGTTAGTTACGGGTTGGCCAGTCATCTCTACCCTGGCCAACCTGTAACCTGTCGTAGCACCGACCACCTTCTCCTCTGTACCCCTCGCCTGCCTGGCTCCACTCTCGAGGCCACTGTCAAGCACTAGATACCCTCAGGTCTCAAACATTTGCTACCCCTGTGTGGGAGCCCAGGGAACTCCAGCTGCAAGGGAGCCTTTGAGGGAGGACTGTAGAGAGCACAGGATGCTGGCTCAGCTTAGGGCTGTGGTTTTGCAACTGTGGTTTTAAAATCAGAAGCACAGAACAAAGTCGGCTAGTCATCCTGTTCTCAGTCCGCATGATGGAGTTACACCAGAGGAGTACTGTACAGTGAGCCCTTCGGCTTCTAGGGGTCTCTTGAGAGTTGGTGAATGTGATTTTTTTTTTTAAAATAAAAAACAGCCCCCATAGGCCCATAGGGAGCGGCACTTTTAGGAGGTGTGGCCTTGTTGGAGGAGGTGTCACTAGGGGCTAGCCTTTGAGGTCTCAGATGCTCGAGCCAGGTCTAGTGTGTGGCACTTTTTCACCTCTGCTGCCTCTGGATCACAATGTAGAACTCCCAGCTCCCTCTCCAGCACCATGTCTGCCCGCATGCTGCTATGCTTCCCACCATGACGATAATGGACTAAACCTCTAAACTGTAAGCCAGCCCCAATTAAAAGTTTTCCTGCTGGGTGGTGGTGGCACATGCCTTTAATCCCAGCACTCAGGAGACAGAGGCAGGAGGATCTCTGTGAACTTGAGGCCAGTCTGGTCTACATAGCGAGTTCCAGGACAGCCAGGGATACACAGAGAGACCCTGTCTCAAAACACCACCTGCCCCCCTCCCCGAGAAAAGCTTTCCTTTACAAGCATTGCTGTGGTCATGGTGTCTATTCACAGCAATAGAAACCCTAAGACAATGAACCTTTATACTAGTGCCTTGTGGAAGCATGAGAGCTGGGAGAGGACAGTTGGGGTGAGGGTAGCACCACTATACAATGTAGGGCTGAGGAAATGACTCAGTAACTGTACTGTCTGTGCAAGCAGAAGCATCTGAGTTCAAATCCCAACCATCCAGATTTAAGAGAGAGAGAGAGAGAGAGAGAGAGAGCGCCTGCCTGGTGGTGGTGACACATGCCTTTAACCCCAGCACTCAGAAAGCAGAGGCAGGTGGATCTCTCATTTTGAGAGCAGCCTGTCTACAGTGTGAGTAGAAACCCTGTCTGGGGGAGGCAAAAAAAAGCCAGGTGTGGCCGGGCAGTGGTGGCGCACGCCTTTAATCCCAGCACTCGGGAGGCAGAGACAGGCAGATCTCTGTGAGTTCAAGGCCAGCCTGGGCTGCCAAGTGAGTTCCAGGAAAGGCGCAAAGCTACACAGAGAAACCCTGTCTCGAAAAACCAAAAAAAAAAAAAAAAGCCAGGTGTGGCTGTATATTCATGCAACCCCAGCACTGGGGATCAGAGACAGGTGAATCCCAATATCTCACTGGGCTTCCACCATAGCTGAAGTCAGCTCCAGGTTCAGTGAGAGACCTTGTCTCAAAGGAGTAAGGTGGAAATGAATAGAGGACCTCTGGACTCCTGTAGGCGTGCATATCTACACACATAGGCTACACCACACATACAATGTGGCAGCAGCTTCGGTGGGCTAGAGGGTGGCTGAAGGTGGCAGTGCCAGCGCCTGGGCTCTATTCTCTTTGTAACTGAGGAACTGAAAGCTCAGGAACTCCCTCATGAAGGACCCCACGGATTGACAGAGGACCAGCGGTCCAAGACTGATCGAGTAAATAATCCAGGGCGCGTGATAGGATGCAGGGGGTCTGCCTCACTGAAGTAACAGGGAGGTTAGGGATATGCATTGGCCAACCTGGTGGGAAGCAAACCCCAGCTAGGCCGTACCTGGCTGACGCTGTACACAGTAGGCATCAGGGTATCCAGCTCCAAGCCTGGGGTACTCCAGGCAGCGCTGAAGGTAGCATACGTCCCCGAGGAAAAGTGCAGGGTCAGTTGTTGGCCCTGGGTAGTCATGCTCACAGTCCAGGACGGGAGAGACCCTGTTTGTGGAAGGTGATCAGGGCTGGGTCGTGCTGGGCCTGGAGGTCACAGGCGAGTGAGGGTGAGGTGTGCAAGAAGAGATTCCTTATTGACTCACCGCTCTGGTGGGGACATTCAATATGGCTGCTGTTTTCAAAAGAAAACTGAGAAAGAAACACACGAGTGTCCAGTCAGCGGGATTCAGTCCCTTCCTTCCTCCTCCCACTGCCAGCCCCTGCCCCTGGTTGTACCTTAAAGCAGAGCTGGGGGTGCAGATCCACATTCTCCAGGACATACCACTGTTAAAGAGAGGGGAGCTCATCAGGGAAAAGGTCTCTGGGCCCCAACCCGGCCCACCTCAGTCCTGGAGGGAGGGGATGTCCTTACTCCTTCTGATTCCTGTGCTGTGGCATTGGGGAGGGTTTCACAGGGCATGAGCGGGTCCTGTCTCTGGCAGAGGGAAGCCTCCAGTTTCAGCGGGCAGCGCAGTGTCAGAGCCATGACCATCTGATCGTGCCGACTATAGTCAGTGAAGTGGACTGACTTCCAGAAGTCCGAGCCATCTGGGCAGGTGGCAGGTCCAAGGATGAGGCCACAGCCCAGCTGTAACTCCATCTCCCTACCCCCCACCCCAGGGCACCAGGAGAAAATACCAAAGGACCAGCACAATTCCAGGCTTCACAGGAGCTCAGCAGGAGAGCACTCCCCCCCCCCCCCCCCCCCCCCCCCCCGCAGCCCCGTCCTTCCTTCCCTCTCCCCTCCCTCCCTTTTTCCCTTCCTCCCTTTCTACCCAGCATTCTTGGCTTTACCTTTCCATCCTGGGCCTCCACACTGAACACCCCTTACAGTACCCCCGTACTCAAAATCTGTGTAGGCTCCTGTCAGAATCTGAATGTCTGCTCCCCTGCCTCTTCTTTCTAAATCTCGTCCATTTCCTGAGCTCAGGGGCCAGCTCCTCTGAGACCCTCTCTGCTCACAACAGTGTCCCTGGGCTTCTCCTCTCCTGAGTTGGTGCCCTGCAGACAGCCCTTGATGATGACCTGCCTGTGTACGTAGCTTTGTGTTACTTGTACCTGAGTGTCCTCTCTTCTCAAGGTCACCACTGTGCATACAACATCCAGACAACACCAGCCTCTTTCCCCGAAAATATTTCATTCAAGCCTCATAAACAGTTTTGGTTTTATAGATGAGGGAAGGGGCTCTGGGGTAATCCACAGCAGAGCTGAAAAGGGAGCCTAGGTCTCTGGTTGGTCCTCTCACACATCACTCCCCGGGTGGCCCTCTTCCACTCATCATGTTCAGCACTCAGGAGCTCCTCTGCAGATTAACAGCTAGACACTGTGGCCCTTTCCCCCTGGCTACAGAAAAAAAAGGTTCTCGTGCCATCTGGGGTCTTCCTCCATCACACACACACACACACACACACACACACACACACACACACACACACAGAGAGGGGGGGGGTATGAATGTGCATCAGGATTAATACAAACAGCACTCACAGGTTTCAGGCCAGCTCTGGAAGGGACACTTTTTGCGCCTCACAGTGTCCTCTTGCAGGTAGGAGGCCTGGTGAGCATAGAGAAAATCAAGGAAATGGCTTTTCTGAAATCATCATTCTGGATCTAGCTTACTGCAATGAAGCAACTTGAGCTGTAGGGCACTAATCAGGGAGCCATGTGGAGCATGGGCAAGGGTTAGGGCTCCAGAGCACAGGAGGGAGCAGCAAACGAGGGCCTGACGCCTCCTGTCCCCAAAGAACTATCCCAGCAGCGAAGGAGTCCTGAGGGTCACATCTGCCCATTTCAGGCTTTCTGACCTCCATTCTGGACTTTCTCAAGGTACCCAGCACCCTGTGTGGACTCCTCATTCTGATTCCCTAAGAGTCACCGGCTGTCTCCTCTGGCAGTTTCTTTTTTCCCAGGTCCCTGTCTACACCCTCCTGTTAGTTCCTGTCTTCCCCCTAAAAATGTCCAAAGCATCTTTATCTTCAGACTTACAAGGAGAGATGGAGGACTCCAATGGAGGGCTGGAAAGGACGTGACTTTGGGAGGAATATGCAACCTTGGCTCTCAAGAACACAGTGATGATGGCTGTTTATTCTGTGTCTGTGAGCTGAAGCCAAGTCTGGGCCAGGGAAGGCAGCATCCAGGCAGGGCTGAGGTGGAACTGGCTGAGGTGGGACTGCCTAGGATCCTTCTGCCTCTGAACACATGTGGTCTAGCCAGCACCAGTTTCCTAAGCATCCCAGAAGTCTGGTCCTTTTGGAGTCTGTCTTTAATGCTGTATGGCTTGCTCTATCACCCAGTCATCTCTGTCCTTCCCTAGTCCTTTGCAAGTTGACTTACTGGAGATTCAGTTGGACAAGGAGCCATGGTTAACCCACGTTTCCCTGTGCTCACCTCTATGCACATGCAGGGCAGGAGGAATTCATAGGGCAGGTCTGCAGTGTGGCCCCCAGGCACAATTTTCTGTTGATAAAACCACAAAGGGAGAGAAAAAGAGACACCTAAGAAAAAGCATGGACACTATGGACAAGGCAGGAGGAAGCTGGAACCTTGGACAATACACCTTACTTTCCTACTCCATGAAACTTATTTCTCCCTCTCATAGTATAGATCTCTACACTGGCCATTTGCTTGAGGTACTCGACAAGGAGCAGGGGTAGGGAAAAGACTATACATTTCTTGAGCTCCAGTTGTATGCCATGCAAGGTGTCAGAAGCATCAACTCTGCTAAAGGCTAGCATCACCATGACGTTAGAGGGTACAGTCATTACAGACATGAAGTGAGCCGAGGGACTCCAGAGCATAGCATCAGTCTCTGCACATGATACCCAGCCACGTGCAGAGGCATCTGTGATGAGTGGAGGTTGAAGTGGGCTGCTAGGGCCTGGACTGTGAGATGGGGGGTGCCATTTTCGGAGGATTAGACAAAAGGTGTGAGAAGGAGAACAGCAAGACATGCGTGACAGTTTGTCAAATTATCAGGGAACGGCCTCTTGAGGAAATAACAAAGCTTTTGTCGTTGTTTTTCTTAAGACTCACGTACCCCGAACTGACCTCAGACTCATTATATATCCAAGGAAGACCTTGCATTTCTGAGCCTCCTGCTTCCACCCCCCCCCAACCCCATTTGTACAATGCCAGAGATCAAGCATGCTGGGCAAGAACTCTACCAACTGAGCTGTCTCCAGCCCTCGCAAAGGTCTCTTAATTCGAGCCAAATCACACCAAGGGTCCTCTCCCTAGCCTAGCCAGTACCAGTTTCCTAACCATCCCAGTAGTCTGGTCCTACCATACTCATTTCTTTCTGGTCTCTCAAGTAACATAGCCCACCACCTTTTCTGCCTAGTCTTAATGCTACCTACCTCATTTTATAAGGAAGTTTTGGACAACTACTTTCCTTGTCTGGGCCCCAGATCCCACCGCCATTCGCTGAAAATGTGAGTAATGTGTCTCCTACAGGGCGTGGAACTCCATACCTGGGTATCAAAGGGACTGCTCATGTCTTCACATTCCAGTGCCCCCACTGGTAACAAAGACGCACACTAGCCTCTGGGCCTGGGGGAATAGTCACCCGAATAGCCTGTGCCTCGGGCAGCAAATCAAAGGAGAATTCAGGTCCTAGGGAGAAGGGAGATTCAGTGACCCCGGCTCAGGTAAAGCTGAAACCATCTGCTGCCACTCACCCCGCCTACCTCCACACTTTTGTGAACCTGCTCCAGGAAGATGCGCTACGCCTTCTGCATCTGAAGGCGGCTGGGTCCTTTTGGAGCGTGGCTCTTTGCGAGAGATAGCTGGGAAGGGGTTGGAAATGTGTTGGCCTTCCAGAGATGGGGAAAGGCTGCCTAGCAGCTTCCTCTGCAAGCCGAGAACAAAGTGGGGTCAAGCCAGGATCCAGGAAGCCCGCTTTCTAGTTCTGCCTTTGAAACTGGAGAGACCACAGGCAAAGCGTTCAAGTTCTTTGGGCCTCAGTTTCCCCTCACTGTATAATCTCCACACTTTCAAACTCCCTCTTGTAGCTGGAGAACAAAATAAGGGGCAAAAAAGAAAGGGGTTGCGGGCCATAGGGTAGAGCTGCAAGTGACAGGGTACCTGGGAGGATGCTGGTGTCCGGCGTCTCCAGTAGAATTCAAACTTATGAGGCCTTTTAGATTTCTTCACCAAGAGAGGGAACCAGCCCCACTGAAGGCCTGTAGGAGGGAGACACACTCCTTACCTGGGCATTCTTGGCCCCTGTCCTACCTGTGATGTGACCAAATGTTGGGTAGAAAGTCAATAGAAATCAAGGACAACAATGCTATCGAGCTTCTTAGGTGGCAAAAATTATGATTCAGTAAAAACTAATGAAGACCCTTCATGGCTCAGTGCACACAGAAGAGAGGGCAGAAAGAATGTGAGAACCAGAAGATGTGGAGGAGTGCTGTGAAGCCCTTCTAGACGTGGCATGGCTGTTGTGTTCATGATCCCACTGCAGCGGTGGTTACCTGCACAAGATCTGCACAAGGTCAAGCCAACGAGCGCAGTCCACATTTCAGCAGGCAGACTCACTAACTGGACTCAGTGAGTTACAGACAAACAGAGCAAGGCATGGTTTTATACCTGTATTGAGAGGCAGAGGCAGGCAGATCTCTTGATTTTGAGGCCAGCCTAGTCTATTTCGCAAGTTCAGGTGAGCCAGGACTACACAGTGAGCCTCTGTCTCAGAAAGCTGAGGGCTCTGTGTGTGTGGACAGATGGGTCAGCAGTTCAGAGCACTTGCTGTTCTTAAAGGAACCAGGATTGGTTCCTCGCACCCACATGGTGGCTCACAACCATCTATAACTCCAGTGCTACCGGGATTTGATGCTTCCATGGGTACTACATGGATGTAATACACACATATACATGCAAGCAAAACACTCAGACACATAATATAAATCTTAAAAAAAAAAGACACAAATGTGGGACAATGATGTATTGGGAGTTCTCCAAGGGGAAGTGGGGAGAGAGGAATTGTGGGTGGGTTTGATCAAGATAGATTGTATGCACTCGGGAGGCAGAGCCAGGCAGATCTCTGTGAGTTCAAGGCCAGCCTGGTCTACAGAGCGAGATCCAGGACAGGCACCAAAACTACACAGAGAAATCCTGTCTCGAAAAAAAAAAATAGATTGTATGTATGTATGAGATTGTCAAATAATAAATACAAGATGTTTTATTTGTTTTTAAAATCTTTAGGCTCATTTATTTTCTTTTATGTGTATGAGTGTTTGCCTGATATGTGTGTGTGTGTGTGTGTGTGTGTGTGTGTGTGTGTGTGTGTGTGTGTGTGTGTACCATGTGCATGCCTGGTGCCTGCTGAGATCAGAAGAAGGTACTGGATTTCCTGGAACTAGAGTTACAGATAATTGTGAGCCACTGTGTGGGTGCTGGGAATCAAATACTGATCCTCTGGAAGAGCAGCAAGTGTTCTTACTAATTGAGTCATCTCTCTACCTCTAACAAGATATATCTAAAACTAAATAAAACAAATAAGAGTTTCGTAAATAGAGAAACACACACACACACACACACACACACACACACACACACACACACACACACACACCTCCCACAAGATAAGTGTTAATTCTAGCATGATGTCTTTCTCCTTTGCTTTTTGGGGGTTTTGTTTGGTTTTTTTGAGACAGGGTTTCTCTGTGTAGCCCTGGCTGTCCTGGAACTCACTCTGTAGACCAGGTTGTCCTAGAACTCAGAGATCCACCTGCCTCTGCCTCCCAAATGCGGGGATTAAAGGCATGTGCCACCACCGCCCAGCTATAGCATGATTTCTAATGGTAAAAAATTTTAAACTAAATTGTTGTGATTTCACTTTATGTTTTATGTTTATATGTGCATGTATAGGTATATGTATAGGTACATACAAATGAGTGCAGGTGCTTAAGAGATCAGAAACATCAGATTCCTTGGAGTTGGGGTTGCAGACAGATGTAAGCTTCCTGACATGGGAATAGAGCTCAGGTCCTCTGCAAGAGCATTTAGTCCTCTTGACTGCTGAGCTGTCTTTCCATCCCCTATAACTGCTAGTTTTCAAGTGTGTGTTCAGTGTATACCAAGTGAGTCAATGAAACAGCAGAGTGACAATTCCATTTTACAGATGCAAAGTAACGATAGCAAGTCCATAGGACACACGGATTTTAGGGATTGGTACCAGATGAAAGGTGGTACCCCCACAAAGATGCAGATGTCCCAGGAGTGTTTGTCGTGATGTGCTTGCTATTCTAGATGCTCGAAGTCCCTGCTGAGGTTAACAGGACAAAAGTGTGTTCCAGTATGACAACTGACACTCAGCCGAGGTACCGATTCTTCAGCTGGCCCTAGCAGACCTCCAGTGAGAATGGCTCAAAGCCTGCTTTTCCTACCTGAAGGACGTGACACCAGACGCAGGCACAAACAGCAGGGCCAGTGCCAGGGCTTTGTGGCCAGGAGGGTAGGGCAGGGAGTCTGAGCAGAACTTCCTGTGTCAAATAGAAAGTCGGCACAGTAACACACAGGTGTAAGCCATTCCTTGGGAGGCTGCGATGGGCAGTGGTGGCGCACGCCTTTGATCCCCACACTCAGTAGGCAGAGGCAGGTGGATCTCTGTGAGTTCGAGGCCAGCCTGGTCTACAGTGTGAGTTCTAGGACAGACAGGAATATACAGAGAAACCCTGTCTCGAAAAACCATAAACAAACAAACAAACAAATAAATAATGGAGGCTTTGGTGTTACATAGTGAGACCCTGTCTCAAAACAAAAACAAAAGATGAATAAAGAAAAATGGTAGGGTCTAAGGAGGTCCCACCTACCTCCTTCAAACTGGATTTAAGGTTGGGCTCTGACATACCTCTTTAGTACAATCTTGGATAAGTTACTGGACAGGTGCCAGACTGCTCATCCATCAAGTGGGGGTGTCATAAGGACCAAGTAACTCAGTGCATGGGGAGAGAGCTTGGTGAAGTAGAATGCACCATGAAGTATGAGCGAATACTGTTCCTGATCAAGTGAAGGGCAGTGGTAGACCGCCAACCGTACAGAGTACCTGGAGATTAGCCACGTGCTCAATCTACCCTCCCCACGGGGGGAGCAGCACCGGCCTCATCACAACCATTTCTCCTCTGCTCCTGTGCTCAGAAGCCCAGGGTCAGAGGGGAGAGCGAAGAACATTGCCCGAGTAGTCAGAGAGTCTGTATTACAGTGCAAATCTAGACTTGCCCTCCACTTTCTCGATGATACTAGACTACTCCTCGGGTTGGGAACCAAAATTGCCATGGACGGCTCACTGGGACCTGAGCTCGGGGGAGCATGGGGAAGAGAAGCAGAACAAGAAATAAGACTCACCAGCGAAACTCTTATCCTGAAGGTACAGGGCCCAGGAGGGAAAAGAAAGGAGAGAGGCATCATTAGAAGGGACTTGCGTAAGGAGCATTCTCCCTGAACTCTGTATCAATCATCCAGTTCTGGACCCACAGCTGTCCATCCACTCCAGCTGTTTTCTTCGGTTCCACCCTGCCAAGGACCTCAGCATACCAGACCCTTATCAATCCCTTCAAGACCACATAGTGGACACAGCGGGGCCACCAGTAGAGCACAGGGACTTCAGAGGTAGGAAAGGGCAGGCAGGAGAATGGGGAGTTCTAGTCTGTGCCAAGCAAGTGTCCCCCCACCTAGCAGCAGGACCTTACCACATAGGAGGCCAGTAGACAGCGGCTGGTCCAGTGTGGCAGGTAGGGACAGCCAACCTCAGCAGACACAGATCGGCTAAAGAGCAGGAGGAGAGGCAGGAGCAAGGGTGCCAATCTGGAGCTCCCCATGAGCTTCTGCAGGATCAGGGCACAGAGACCATGGCTTTGTTGTCTGCAGCAGGGCAGCAGGGTCTGGCCCTGGAGCTGTGAGGAACACACAGTACCAGCAGGCACTCTCACCTAGCCCTGCCCAGGATCCACCCTGCCCCGAAGCTCCTCCTCTATCCTAACCAGCAGGCTAGGTCACATTCCTTCTCCTGAGCCAGGGCACTGAGGAAGGCTTGTTCACTTGTTCGCCTGCCTGTTTGGTAGAAACCCTTACTGCTCTCACGTCACAGGGGGCTCTTGGTGTGGTGGAGAGTTAACAGGAAAGGGACCAGCACCCTGTTGTGGAGGTGCACCCACTCTTAACCCCTCCTGCTCCTAAAACACTGCAGATCTGACGCGTCTATTAGTCTGCTCTAGAACTTGGATCTGCCCTAGACAGTTACCCATCTTTCATTTTGAGAACTAACAGCTATTCTGCACTTGTCTACACCGAATGCTGAAGATAAAGAAGTGACTGGTGCATCATTTAAAGTCAGGCCAAATGTAAGTAAACATTACATAACACAAATAAGCCTCTGTGTGCCCCATATGCACTCTGGCTCCCCACCTGGCTGGCTTTCAAGGAAGGCCCAGCTTTCTTTAGCTCATTAGTCCCTTCCAACTCTTCTCAATTCCAGGTCAGAGTGGTCTCCAGCTTCAGGGACCAACTGAGTAATACAGCTTGTTCAGGAAGCCCCAGAACTGACAGCTGAGCTCTGGAGCAGAGGGAGCAGCCCCACGCACTGACCTGGTTTCCTGTGGTTTCCGGTGCAGGAAAAAGCTGACAAGGCTCCAGGCTTTGTGGGGACCCTCCCCATCATCTCACAGCTTCCTTCCACTCATGGAGCACTTGAGCTACCTCAGCCCCCACCTTGGCAATGCCCAGGTTTGGGGCCTGTCCACTGGGTCAACGCATCTTGGTATTGCTATTGTCTCTCCTTTTTAAATTAATTTTAAAAAATTAGCTCTGTGTGTGTGTGTGTGTGTGTGTGTGTGTGTGTGTGTGTGTGTGTGTGTGTGTGTGTGTTGTATGCATAGGTGGGCATGCGCACTTGCCCATGCAGGCTTATGTAGAGGCCAGAGGCTGACACCAGGGTGTCTTCCTGATTTGTCTCTGCCTTGTTTTGAGACAGGATCTTTCTCTGAACCTCGAGCTTGCTGTTTCAGCTAAGGCTGCTGGGGCAGCAAGCCCCTAGGATCCACCTGTCTCTTCTACTCATTGCTGAAGCTACAGGTATATTTTGCTACGGTCTGGCATTATGTGGGTGCTGTAGCCCAGAACTCAGGTTCTAATGCTTACGCAGCAAGCATTTCACATCTGTCCAGTCCCGTTATTATTATTATCATCAAGACAGGCTCTCATGTTCTCTATGTAGCCTAAGGATGTCCTTGAACTTCTGATCCTCCTGCCTCCACTTCCCAAGTGCTGAGATTCCTGGCATGAACCACCACGTCCAGTTTCTTCCGTGCTGGAGACTGAATCCAGGGTTTCGTGCTAGGCAGGCACACTACCAACAAAGCTACATCCTAACTCCAACATTCTGTCCTTCTGAGATTCAATCTAGACCACCCTTCAGAAACATGACTGCAGCCTTCTTTGGGCCACTCCTAAATCTTTTGGGCCACATCTGAAGTCCCCAATCTACCTATGACCCTCTTGCTTTTGCATTCATACACTTTTTGTTGTTGTTTTTGGGTTTTTGTTTGTTTTTTGAGGCAGGGTTTCACTGTGTAGCCTTGGTCATCCTGGAACTCATGCTACAGACCAGGCTGGCCTCGAACTCACAGAGATCCACCTACCTGCCTCTGCCTCCCAAGTGCTGGGATTAAAGATGTGAGCCACTACCACCCAGTATAATAAACAATATTTTTAAAAGGAAATAAAAAGAGGGCTGGGGATAGACTCAGTGGCAGAGCACTTGCTTAGTGTACGTAAGGCCGTGGGTTCAATCCCCGTGTTCTTGCAGTGACAGGGAGCAGGTGCTCCTCGGCTGAGTGAGCATCAATCTCATATGATACATCTCATCTAAGTAGCTTATCTACTTCCAGTTCACAAAGCAACAGCAATATTTGATCCCTCTAAACACCTTGTGAGGCAGATAAGTGAGAACTATTTAATTTCATCAGGAGAGAACTAAGGAAACAGAAGGGAAAGTGGTTTGGTCAAGGTCAAAGTCTATCGCCCAGGAAGCTGCACTTGAGCTGCACTTGAGCGGGCCCTCCCAATCTGCTGTCATCCTGTAGTCTCTGGGCTTCCTTCACCTGCCTCTTTGAACCAACAGGGTCAGCTGCCAATGCTGCCTCGTGCAGAGCCAACCTCAAGTCAGTGAGATCCAGAGAGCAGAAAAGGTGGTCTAGCCAGACTAAGCATGGCGTCAAGGGTCTTCCTCCAATTCTACCTCATGGAGGCCCGACACACATTAAACCTTTTTTTAAGTCTTATTATTTTTTCTAATGTATATGGATGTTCTAGGGCATGTAGGTATGTGCATCATGTATGTGCTGGGTGCCCTTAGAGATCAGAAAGGTATAGAGTGTCTGGAACTGGAGGTACAGATGGTTATGAGCCACCATGGGGGTGCTGGAATCAAACCCGGGTCCTCTCCAAGAGAACCAGGTGTTCTTATCCCCTGAGCCATCTCTCAGTGCCACCACGAGTTTTCTGAGGCTTGGCATGTGAGCTCTGTTCTACACTTGCCTTTCTTGACTCCTGGCTCTTCTGGCCGGACTCTCAAGATGAGAATATTTGGTCAGTTGCTTCCTGATGGTGGCTAAAGTATGGTCGGAAAAGCAGAAAAGAAATGGTGACAGTAAAAACATACAGATAAGCTGGGCGGTGGTGGCGCACGCCTTTAATCCCAGCACTCGGGAGGCAGAGCCAGGCGGATCTCTGTGAGTTCGAGGCCAGCCTGGGCTACCAAGTGAGTTCCAGGAAAGGCGCAAAGCTACACAGAGAAACCCTGTCTCGAAAAACCAAAAAAAAAAAAACCAAAAAAAAAAAAAAAAAAAACCATACAGATAAAGGGAGGGGAAGAGAGTGGGAGGGGACAAGAAGAGAAGACTGGAAGACAAGGGATTAGGGAGGCCAGGCATCACGGTGGCGCACATCTTTGATCCCAGCACTCCAGACGCAGAGGCAGGTACATCTCTGTGAATCTGAGTCTGAGGCCAGCCTGGCCTACATAGAGAGTTACAGGGCAGCCAGGGCTACATGGTGAGACCTTGTCAAACACACAAATAAACAACTAACAAATAAAAGACAAAGCAGAAAGTGGGAAAGGAAGTATGTAGTTTATTGTCTCGCCGGCTTCCGTATTTGGTGTGGTTGGAGCCTGTTCCAAAAAGGGAAGGGATGAGATCAATATTTGAAACTACCCGGATCATGCCCATTGCTTTTTTTAGCTTGTTATTAGCATTACAACCCTTGAGGTCAGGCTAATGACCAGTTTTAGAAAGGGAACACTCAGGAAGACTGACCTGTCCAAAAAACACACACAGCAAAGAAATGGAGAGGCAGGACAACACATCATGTCCTCTGTTTTTTTTTTTGTCATATTATGTGGAGTCTGAAGATTTCTGGATCCCATTTTGCACATAAAGTTTTAGATTTAGCAGTGATAAAGCAGATGGAGTGAAGATGTAAGGAAGGAAATTAGAAAGTGGAATGTGGTGGCATAAGCTCGTAATCCCAGTATTAGGGAGGTGGAGGCAGGAGGATTGGGAGCTCATGGTGAGTCTGAGACCGGTCCAAGTTTTCATGAGAACATGGAAAGGGAGAGGTAGGGGAGGGAGAGAGGGAGCAAGCAGGCAGACCAGGAAAGAACAAAGAAGAGGAAAAGGGTCTTAGCACAGTGAGTGATGGGTGGGCCTAGTTTAGGAGAAAGAGATTGGCAACTGTCAACAGGGAGAGTAAGAGCTTAGAAGGCTGGAATAGGAGGTAACAGGGTGAGGCAACAGAGGCATCAGCACAAAAGCCTTGTGCTCTTGCAAGGTGTCTGAATCAGCTGACCAAGACTTCAGGCTCTAACGACCTTTATTCGGGGGCCAAGCCAGGGGCTCAGGAAGTTTTGGCAAGCCCTGAAGCATGCATGCTTAGTGAGAGTATACTACTGGGGCCCCTGGCCGCCACTTTTCGTGTCACAGTCCTTTCTAGGCATGGACTCTGGACCGGCTATGAGTAGCAGCTACAGGAGTTTCCTATAATGCTCGGTTCCTAAGGTCTGCTGGGTCTGCACTCCCTGTCAGGGCACCTTGAACATACCAGTCAGAATAATGTGGACCAAGACTGTGAAGTATCTCTAGTGCTCTTCTAGAAGGGACCAACCTCTGGCATTCTGAGACATCATTCCTAGCTAGGCATGGTGATGTACACTTACATCGCATTTGGGAGACAGAAGCAGGATTCTATAAAGAGACCCTGTCAGAAGGAGGAGAGAGGAGGAAAAGAGGAAAGAGAATTATTCCTAAAACAGGTAGACATTCTCAATTTAGGAGGCAAGCACAACACTGTTTACTAAGGAAAGGCATCTTGATATATAGACCTCTATGTACTAGAGAGTTCATACATATTTATTTCAGCCTCATAGCAATGGGAGAGACCTACAATGCCCATGCATCACATAAAAAAACAGGCTCAGCTGGGGAGTAGAAACACCCATAATCCCAGCACTTCGGAGGCAGGAGGATTGCTGAGTTCAAGGACAAGCTGAGCTACAGAGAGCATCAGAAAGTGGGGAGGATATAAGGAGATGGCTCAGCTGAGGGAACACTGGCCTAAGTAAGGGTGAGGCCCTACGTAATTCCTAGGATGGCAATTAAATGTAACAAACAAAAGACAGTAAATTCCCTGGTTAGAATCTCAGCCTAATAATCATTGCTCACAGCACACAAACCTTTCTTGGAGTCTAGACCATCTCTCAAGGCTCTCTCCAAAGCCTTCACTCTGTCTTGCCGTAAAGACCAGGGACCACCACCACTTTTGACATCCATATGGTGTTACAGAGTCCATAAAATGCCTTCGCACGGGCCAGAGGGACGCTGCAGTGGTTTAGAGCACTGGCTGCTCTCCTAGAAGA